GGGGGGGGGTGAGGGACAGGCGCAAGCGCCTCTTGCCTCTTCTCGCTTGCGCGTCTAGGCAATGTCGCGGGGCGTGGCGTTGTGGTTGCTCGACGAGGCGCCGCTGAAGCTGTTGTTCCTCGAGGCGTTCCTCGAGGCGTTCCTCGATGCGTTGCGGCTCGAGGCGCGCTGCGAGGCGACGTACGAGTTCTGCCTGGACCCCAGCCCCGTCCCCGTCCGCGTCCCCGTCCGCGCGCCAGCAACAGCCTGGTGGCCAGCGTGGCCCTCTTTGCGGGCGGCGCTGAGCTGCTGGGCAAAGGGGGAGCGTTTGCGCAGCGTCGGGCCGTAGTAGTAGACGACGTAGACGGCGAGCACGAGGAGCACGCTGATGCAGAAGAGAATCGTCGATGCGTACTCGAGGTTGCGCCCGGACGAGGCACCGATGTTGCTGTAGAAGGGCACGGCGGGCACCGTCAGCACGCCCGCGAGGAAGTCGCGCGCCCACCCGTTGCCACCCGTGGCGCTCGCCGCGTACTCGCCATAGGCGCAGATCATCTGTTTTCCGTCGTGGTCCCGAGGGAGGGAGGGAGGGAAGGGGCAGAGGTGCGGGATCGGGCGGGTTTGACGCGGGTCAGTCGTCCCCCTCTCGTGTTCCCCTCTCTCTCCCTGCCTTTCAGGGAGGCACACCGCCCGGCACTCACGTAGTCGATCGTGGCCATGTAGATTGCGTAATTGCCGATGCCGATGAGGGCGGTAAAGACCATGGTGCCGATCCAGTGGACGGGCGGGCCGACCGAGGTCCACGCGAAGCCAATCAGGCCGATGGGCAGGCACGGCGCCGTCCAGAGGAGGAACCAGAGGCGCGACTCGTACTGGGCGCGCTCGTCGTCGGGCTTGGCGTGGCGCTCCTTGATGTTTCGCCGGATCGCAGGGATGAAGGCGGCGTAGGCGATAAAGTAGCCGATCAGGATGGGCACAAACGCCAGGCCGATGGCGATCGGCCCAAAGTCCCACTGCGCGTACACCAGCGAAAAGCTCTGCAGGCAGCAGAAGGAGGGGTGGCGACGTATCGCGGTGCGCCCACGTCGTCGTAGGGATATCGAGGACTGGCTGTCAGCATGGCGGTCCCTCTCGAGCGAGCCGGAGCGGCCTCCCTGTGCGAACCGCCGCCGACACTCACCTGGAGCGAGATAAAGATGAGGGCATCGCTGAAGCCGGAGAGGAGGGAGAGGGAGAGGACGATGGGCTCCTTGACGAACATGACAAAGGGGCGGGACCAGGTGACGAGGACCTCCTTTGCCGAGAAGCGTTCGCGGAAGGGCACGAGCTCGTTGGGCCCGTAGATGTTGGGGTTCTCGCCCGTCTTGCGCATGCGCTTGGCGATGCGGTCCATCATGATGGTGGTGCGCGTCTCGGGGACAAAGAAGAGGTGCGCCAGCTGCACGGCTCCGCCGAAGATGAGCTGGAGCAGCGGCGGCAGCACACGCATATGGAAGGAGTGGGGTGAGCGGGCATGGCGAAGAAAGGTTCCCGGGCGACGTTGTTAAAGGTCACTCGGAAAGGGCCGAGAACGAAGCAGAGGCAAAGGCCCGAAGCGTCGAGGCACTCGCACGGTCACGGGATCGAGGGCGCACTCACCTGGATCCAGATGCACCAGCGCCAGTCGAGGAACTTTTCCACAAAGCCTCCGACAATGGGACCCAGCGTCGATCCGCCCACCGAGGAAAAGACGACAAAGGCGACGGCGTACTGCTGGTGATCGGCGTCCCACCTGGTGCGTGGCGGGGGGATGCGGAGGAATGTGGATCGAGCGGTGAGTTGGGGCGCGCTCCAAAGTTGGCAAAGGCCGGGGTCTGATGTCCACGACCGACGATGCTGGCGGACTCACATGTCTGCAATCATGCCCAGGGTGACGGATCCGCCGGCCGACGAGAGACCGCCGAGGGCGCGTCCGGCCATGACTGCGCCAAAGTTGGGGGCGAGGGCGACGGGGAGCTGCCAGATGTTGACGAGGAGCAGGCTGGCCTGGAGGATGGGTTTGCGGCCGAGCTCCTCGCTCCAGGGGGCCCAGAGCTCGCACCCAAAGGCGTAGGTGACAAGGAAGACCATGGCGCCGCAGCGGGCGGCCTGTGCGCTGATGCCAAACTCTTCCGTCATGCCCGGGATGGCGTTGGAGTAGAGCGAGGTGTTGAAGTTCATCGAGACCTGTACGGCAAAGATGACGCTGAGGATGGTCCACTTTTTCCACGAGGGGAAGCAGAAGCCCAGCTGCTCGTAGCACTCGTCCTCGGTCAGCTCGACCTTGCCGTCGGGGCGCGTCGAGTTGGGCTTCTCGACGTCGGAAAAGCGGGCGTGGTCGGCGCGCACGTCGGCGTCGGCCGTGGTGCGGTGCGTGGGCGAGTGGACATCGTCGGCGGCGGTGGCGGCAACATCCGAGGGCGGTGATGCTGCCTTGCGGAGGGCGTGCTTCTCGTCCATGGCGACGACGGTGGGTAGGGCCACGGGCGTGGGAGAGAAGGAGGGGAGGTGGCGAGCGATGTTGGGGGGAGCGAGCAAAGGTTGCAAAAGGGAGCGTGCTCGTGGACACTGGACCAGCTGCTCGACCCGCCTTATGTACTCTGGCCACCGCAAGCACAAGAGCACCGGCAGGGCGACGCAGGCGAGGGTCAAGCTTTAGCGCTGTTTCATCAGAGGCTCTACGTTAGCGCGATGGATGATGTTGAGTTTAGGGCAGCGCGTGCGGTGGGCACGAGCGGAGAAGGGAGAGGGGGTCGGCGGCGGCCATGTTTGCGGGGGGATTGATTGGGTCCCCCGTGGAGGCCAGCCAGGCGATGTTTGGGCCCGGTGTAATCCTACATGCGGGCATGAACCAGCATCGACGGGGGGAGCAAGAACGGGGACGGGGGAGGGGGCCAATGGATTCGAGGAAGAAACGCCGGCGGCCGAGGTCGAGCGACGTCGCCGTCCAACGAGAGGAGGGTCTTTGACGGATTCCAGGCCGTGTGTGTCTGACAGCAGCGACTGGCCGGCCGACGTGGCCGACCGACGGCTTGCCAGGCTTGGCGGCTTCGACGAGCAGCCTGGCCTGGTTGCCACTTGCCTCTGCAATAGGAAGAATCGGTAGCAACGCCGGCGGGCGGCCAGGACGACTCGACTCGACTCGACTCGACTCGACGGCAGCGGCGGTCGAAGGGGGGAGCGGCACGGGCAAAGCGGCGGGCCAAATGCCAGCCAAGCGCGCCCATGAAAAGCTTCCGATGCGGGCACCGGTCGGGGGATTTTCCCGCCGCTTTTGCCGATTCTTCGGCCCGACGTCGAACGCGCAGGCAGGTGAAGGGTGACGTAGCGACGTCGCCCCTTGCTTCGACGAGCCCGACATCGTCACCGCCCCGTGGGGGTCAACGGCCATCTACCGTATCGCATGGCATGGCAGCCTCTCGCGACGCATGGCATCGTGCATCAAAGATTCGTATCGCATATCCCGAACCCACGGAGGAGCGGGGGCCGCGCTCGACGCCACGTCGTCAGGCTAGGCTTGCCAGGCCAGCTCAGGCAAAGGCATCGGTTCAGTGACAGAACCACGACGTTGGAAGCATGCCCCGATAAATCGACTTCCTTCCGGCGGAAAACTAGGTATGTACGTCGCCGTCGGCCACCAGGTCGTGATCCTCTCGTACGGTGCGCACAGCAAGCAGTGTTCGGCATTCGGTCGACGCAGCAGACGACGCTCTGACGCTCCCCCGCCGCCCCGCCCGCCCGCCTTCTACAGCTCCCTGGGACCCTTTCTCTGCAACGCCTTGCGGGGCGCGCCGTCCCACAGGTCGAGCATGCGCTCCTTCCAGCGCGCAAAGTGGTCGAGCCGCACGTCACCCCACCACTCTCCCTCCTCTTCGTCGATGCGCTTGCCCGCCGCCTGGGCGAGGTAGGCGCGCATCGGTCCCGGATCGGCGTCGACCAACGCATCCGCCAGCGCCGGAGAACAGGCCTTGACCATGGCCCAGCGACTAAACACGAGGAAATCAACAATGCCCACGTGCGACGGCGTCGTGAGGAACCGCGCACCCTCGTCGCGGCTGCTGGTACTTTGAGACTTGAGGACCTCTTCAAACGGAAGAAACGACCGGCGCGTATCGACGAGCATCGTCTCGAGGTCCATGCCGACAATCTTGGCCCAGCCGCCCTTGCCGTGTCGCTGGTCGGAGCGAAAGTAGGCGGCAAACGACGGGTCCTCGACGGCATCGGCAATCTCGCCGAGGCCGGGCGCGGCGAGGTGGAAGAGCTTGTTCCACATCGAGTCCGAGGTGGCGTAGCCGTGCTTGAGGATGGTGGCCATCGAGAGGATCGTGGGCCACGACGGGTCCGACATGTCGACCCGCTCCAGGTTCGGCTGGAAGATGGGGTGCGCGCCAAAGTGGCGGTCGAGGTAGAGGGCGATCTGAAACGAATCCTCGACGTACTCGACGTCGTCGTCTTTGTCTGTTGCGCCTGCGCCGTCGCCGTCGGCGTCGTTGTCGCCGCGCTGTTTTTCGAGGGGAGGCGAGACTTGGATGACGGGGAAGAGGGGCGACTTGCCCAGCCGTTTGCCCAGGCTCGTGGGCCCGCGGTCGAGCAGGTTGGGTTCGACGACCTCGAATGGGATGCGCTTGTGCAGCAGGCACAGCCGCGTCAGCCACGTATTGGGTGATGCCAGTGGGGCGCCCGGGTAGAAGGCGAGGTCGTAGAAGACAATCTTGGGCGACGTTGCCGTTGTCGTCGTCATTGCCAAGTTGGGGTCGCGGTCCGGTCGGGTCCGGTCCGGTTCGGTTCGGTTCGGTTTGGTACGGCGCTATGGTCGACGAGAGGAGGGAAATTGATGGGATGGTATGAGGCTGAGGATAGCCTGACAAGCGGGATGGAAAGGGAGGGTTGATCAAGGCGAGCGGGGCTCCTTTTCTCGGGGTCAAGAAGACGGGGTTCGGCATGGGACGGGGCCAAAGAGGCTGTGTCGGGGCGGTGCTTGGCAGGCCGGGAGGCAGGAGCGTTGGCCACGCAGACCCATCCGGTGCAGCGGCTCCTCGCACTTGGCCGGTCCGGACATCATCCGAGCCTCGTCGGGAGCCAAGCAAGAGCAAGCGCGCAAAGTGCCAGGCCAGGCAACCCCGGCCTGGCCCCGACGCAGGGGCCATCTCTGTGCGTGCCTGGCAGCCGACCGACGCGACGAGGTCGTCCCGCTCCCAACTCGCGCATTCACAGGCCAGCCATCGGACCCGGTACTTGGCCATCAGCCTCGACAGACTGAGCGCGTTCGGCAAGGTCGGACGAGTCGGCCTGCCCGGCTCTCGCACCCGACCCATCCCGTTCCTCCACGCATCGCAGGTCCTGCGCGACAACATGTCCCACATCTCCGCTCGGCACGCACGGCCGAGATGAGGTTCCGCCAGGACCGGGCGAGGATGTGGATGAGCACCGGGTTGGATTCAGTAGTACGAGGGAGAGGGCACAGTGAAAGACAAGAGAGGGGCGAGGACCAGGGGGAGGGGCCGAAGGGGAGGCAAGGCGATTGGATGATAGGATTGTCGGATGAGGGAGTCACTGATGTGAGAAAGAAGAGAGCGGAGAGAAAGAGAGAGAGAGATCCCGCGGTGCCCTTTGGGCCAGATGTGGCTACCGTCCGTGTCTAATGATTGTGGGGGTGAGTGCGAGCCGAGGCGAATGCTGGAGAGAGGGAGCGGATCGATGCATCGATCGAGCGAGCGAGCCAGTGCAAAGGTGTAAGCGGAATGCCGGGGAACCGTTGCCGCTGCGTGCGGCGAGGTGGAACGGTTGGGCGGATGCAAGAGTCAAGAGAGCCGGGCAAAGACGGCGACTGGCGGGCGAGAGGGCGGACGGGAGGGCGGGCGGGCGCCAGTACGTTTCTATGGGTATCGATGCCCTGGCTGACGAGGGTAGCCGCGGGCCTGGTGGTGCGGCGGGAGCTGCTGCTGCGGTGGCCCGCCGCCGCCTCCTCTCCCGTCGCTGCCGCCCTGGCTGCGG